CTGGTTTTCTCCCTCCGTGGAAGGGCGGTTCCCCCTAGCCACTTTCCCCACTTCCGCAGGGGAGCGGCACACCGCCGGCCGGCTCTCTCGGGGGCTACACAGGTGTTCCTTCAGATAGATGTTCCCCTTAGATGTTCCTGGTGCATGCTGTCTCTCTCCTCCCTTATAGTCCTCTTCCGCCAATCCCAACTCTGCTGCCCACACGCCGAGTACGCTGCTCTCCTCCAATCAGGAGCAAGATCAGCTCCTGCAGCTCAGTCAATCAAATTGGCGAAAGGCAGCTGCGTAGAAGCTGTTTCCTCCTCTCCCAGCGCCATATTGTGGGAGAGCAGATGCATAGAATAAGTCTTAATTCCAGTAACTTAGTCTAGTCCGAGTTGCTCCCCACACTTGAGCCCCTGCAGCCCATGTGGGGGACCCAGATGGAGCTCCTGGTTCCTGGTTTTGGCCTTGCCCAACCCTGGCCATTGTAGCCATTTAGGGAAGTGAACCAGCAGATTTCTCTTTCTAATTTTGCCTTTAAAATAAGTAAATAAATGAATCTAAAAAAAGAGGAAAGGTTCAGTGTTATTCTTTCCTTATAACTACTAGAACCAGGATGCAAAACCAAGTCTCCTTGATTTTAATGCTGCTAATCATAAAGTACATTAAGAACAAATTACTTGACTGCATAACCCAGGGAGCTCTTGCTTGGACTGCCATAAGATTCCATGGAATTGGTAGCTTACTGTTTTTTGTAATTAAAGATGTTTATTCATTTTTATTTATTTGAAAGGCAGAATCTCCTCTCTCTCTCTCTCTCTCTCTCTCTCTCTCTCTTTCACACACACACACACACACACACACACACACGGAGACAGAGCATTTGCTGGTTAAAACCACCAAATGCCTGCAACATCTCGGGGTAGGCCAGGCTGAAGCCACGGGCCTGAGCTCCCACGTGCACGACAGGGACACAAGTGTTTGAGGCATCATCTACTGCCTCCCAGGTGCATTAGCAGAAGCTGACTTAGAAGCACAGGTGGGACTCTGTCCCGGGCACTCTGGTATGGGATGTAGGCATCCCAAGCAGTGGTTTAACCTGCTACAACACAACGCTAGCCCTGGACTGGGTGATTTAAACAATGGATGCTTCTTTCTCACAGTTCTAGAGTCAGGAAACCCCAGAGCAAGAAGCCAGCGTGTCCAGCTCCTGGGAAGAGCCCTCTTCCTGCTGTGTCCTCACTTGGTGGAGGAGGTGGTTGAGGAGGGGGAGGGCTGACCGCTGTCGCACTGGTGTGTCTTGCTCTTCGTTTCTGAGCGCTCATCCCCGCACAGGGGCTCCACCATCAGGACCTCCTGTAAGCCCAGTCGCCTCTCAAAGGCCCCTCCCCCAAGTAACAGCACTTGGGGCCAGGGCTCTAGCATGTGCATTCTGCGGGGCCTGCTTTGTGACTCTGGAACGTGCACTCTGCTGAGCCGCCTCTTGGAAGTTTCCAGGGTTTCTCTGCCTGTGAGTTCTCTGGGTTGGTGGCTTGAGTACTTTTGGTGAATCTGTGAGTCTGTATATCAGATAAGTGTAAGGCCACAAGAAACAGAAGAAATACAGTGTTGTACTCAAGAATTCTGTGCTTGAGCTATGCTTCAAGCAATGATGTGTTCTATTGCTCTCAGAATGCAAAAGTTACCATCTTGAGCCAAATTTTGGTGGTAATAATTGCTTGCATTTAATTTTTAAAAGCCTGTAATATTAAGGCCAACAGATCTCAGTGAGACTGAGTTTTTTTCCAAGTGAAGGGAAAATAAGCTTGAATGTCAGTGAGCAGCCTCTGTTGGCATTTTCCCGAGCACTGATGAGAAACTATCAGATTCTGTGTCTTTGAAGCTTAGCCAGAGATCTTAATGAAACCAAATGAGGCTGAGGGTCTTAAAGCTAATTTAAATCTCAAATTGTACATTTTAAATTAAGTTTTTATTGATAATAAATATACTTTATTTCTTATTAGCCCCGAAAGCTTGAGTGATATCAGTAGAATAAACATGTTTTATAAAGATTTACCATTAAGAATGCTATTAATATGACCCTTGATAGCACCAGCACAATTAGGTTCCAAAGTGAGCACTTATGAAGTAACAGGGATTAATGACCACCATCGACAACAATTTTGAACTCCATCAGTTTAGCTCAGGAGGGTAAACTTAATATGATAATTCATCTAGTTGAATTGTATCAGCCTAGCAGGGAAGTATGTAAATATGTAACCCTTACCTAGCTTCTAAATGGATGCTGTGCTGATAGATTTATCAGTTCCATTACAGAACTTTGGGGAACTTTGGAATTTCAGCAATTGTTCCCTCGGAGGCTGAAAATCCAACCTGATCTCATACTGGGACCATTCTGGCCTGCATATTTCCATAATTTGCCTTTGCAACTAATATGACAGCAAGATACAAATAACTGTTTCTAATAATATCAGATGGAGTTGTGGAGGACAGCATTTTAATGTAGTAAAAGACCTCCCCGTGGGGTTGTTATTGCTACTATAGAACAGCAGCTACACGGTTGAAACTGTAGTCCCTTAATTGATTCGTTTAATTAGCAAGAGCTGAAGCTTGGACTGTATCCTGTCATCCAATATCATAAGACCTGAAATTTGCATCACTCACATTTACATGAACATCATCAAAAAGTTCTGCTCCTTCTGAAAATTCACTTATGGATGTTGAACTTTAACAGACCAACTCCCCTTTACTGGAAATCCAAATAACTAGAAGATGAAAAGAACTAGAATTCTTGCCATTGCTTTTCTTTTATACCTACATTTGGGATGGTAAATGATATCATGCGTTATTAGCATTGTCTTTTCTTCCAAACATGAACTTGCAGAGAACTTCTTCATCCTTGTCAGTTGGTCTGCAGTCCTGTGAACACAGGTCAGGGCTTTTGCCTCTCGGAGCTCTCTGCATCGGAGGGGTTTCAGGAAACCCCTGAGGGCTTGCTGGCACTTCTCGCACCAGCTGGCCCAGGTAACTTACCAGCCGCCCCTGCCCGCCCTTGCAGCCGCTCTGAATCCCTCCAGCTTAGCCTTCTGCTTGTGTGCTCCCTTGGCTCCTGCTCACCTAACGCACCTTGCACTGGTCCCCACTGCCTTGTTAGGGACAAGAGAGAGTAGGGAGGGGGGCAGTGTCTGGCGTAAAACCAGAGCCTCCCTCAGGCTGCACACCCCATGTCCCTGCTGGGCTCTTCTTCTTCCTGGCCACATCCCCACCACAGACACAGAAAGCAGGTGGTGGTCACAGAGCAGACATTTTGTGGAATGTGCCTATTGTGGCTTCCTGCTGATTAGGTACATTTCATAGTGCCAAATAAAAGGTTTGTCTATGGCATTCCTTCTTGCATTTTCTCCTAAAAATGCAAAATCCCAGCCCAGCTATGGATGCAATAAGGTTTTTATGAAATGGGCTTTAAATACAGTCTTAGTCTTGAACATTGTTTTCGTGGTGATATGTGTTTTCTGTATCACATAACCAACCTAAGCAGGATTTTTTGGAACTTACGAGTTTAGTCTCTGTTCTTTTGAAATTCACAGGCTCTGAATAGGATAAAAGTTGAATAATTAACACCCAGTTGTGTGATGCATTCTGTACAAAAGTTTAAAAGTGCTCATTGAGTGCTAGGAAGAGGGCCAGGTGCTCATGACATGGACAGCGACCCTAAGTTACCAAACTGACCATGGGTGCAGACAGACAAACGGACACCCTGATGCGTAGGGGTACTGAGATGGGGGGACGCAGACTGGCTGGAACAGAGGACTTGTGACTGTGGAGCTCTGCTTCTTTCTCTCACTGGTACCGAGTTCAGACCCGAGGGCGCAGCTCTTTGTGCTGTGGGGCAGGCATTTTGCACAGCAGGTGAGATGCTGCTTGGTATGTCCACGTCCTTTCCGCAGGGGCTGAGTCTGCTTCTGATCCCACCTTCCTGCTAATGCGTACTCTGAAGGCAGCAGGTGATGGCTGCAGTACTTGTGTGCTTCATGAAAGACTCAAAGGGAGTTCTAGGCTCCTGGCCTTAGCCTGGCCCAGCCCTGTCCATTGGCAAGCATTTGGGGAGTGAGTGAGTCAGTGGGTAGAAAAATCTGTTGTATCTCTCTGTCTCTCTCTCAAATAAATAAAAATCAGTATAAATGTTTTGAAAAGAGTCTGCCTTCAGTACCATGTTAGACTTTACATTTTGATAATGAGCAGAAAGTCTTCAGTGGCTCCCATGGTGGCCAGACATCATCTTACACTGACTGATTGGCTGTTACGTGACAGACGTTGAGTTCTGACAGCTGAAGAGGAAAAGATGTCCTTTTTCTCAGTGAGCCACCTAAGGACACAGAAATGTGAACAAGTGATGACAGTCTGGAGTGGTGGGGGGTAGCAGAGATGTTCTCGGGCTGGAGGAAGGAAAGGAGGAATCATGACCAGCTCCCTGCGGCTGTGTGTAGCTCAGGCTACAACTTGTAGGCTGGATCTGGTTTGCAAGCAGGGAAGAGCATCTGCACAGAGAGGCCTGGAGACAGCAACTTCAAAACTGCACTGTGGGCTGATGGGAGAGGCAGAGGGGGAGTAAAACCAGTGAGGGCACACAGGTGTGCGGACCCTTGGGTGGCTGAGGAAGCTGCCGAGAGTGGCAGGCAGGGTGAGTTAGGTCCGTTTGGGAGACATGACGGACAGGGCAGGTGCTAGATGCTGCAATCCCATGTCAGGGGGCTCAGTCTGTACTCTGCAGACCCGGAGCTACACTGAAGGATTTGAAAGGAGAGAGTGACAGTGTCACCCCAGCTTGGCTCATTTTTTTTTTTAAAAGAACTTGTGAAAGTAGGTGGCCAAATAAGAGGGTGCATTTGGGAGCTACCTCTTTAGGATCAGTGCCAATTACATGAATATGCATGCATTTTAAATCAATATTATATTTTAATTCCATTTTTTCTGTGAACTTCTTGAAATGCCCTTGACTGTGTGGTTCCGCATTGAAGATGATTCGGAAGCTTCTGGAAGTGATGACCAATGCAGACAACTGACGGGAAAGCCAGAAGACAGGCATGGGGCGTCTCATGTGCTCAGTTACCCCACTCCTCCTCCTCTTTGGCAATCAGTCCACAGCGTGGTCTCTGGAGAGAAGAGTAATACCACGGTGGGCGAGATAATTTTGACTACTTTAAGTTTGAGATGCCAGCAAGATATCGGCACTGTAAGGAGATGAGAATAAAGCAAACGGGCGAGCATGCGGGCAGGGGCTGTATCAGCCGTAAAGGGGTAATGAGAATGGCCGAACTGATGGGGCAACCCACGGGGAGGGAAAGGCGGCAGGGGGCAGGCCTGGAAGAGCAGTCTGGATGCCCCCACATCTCAGAGCGAGGCCCCTGTGCTCCCTCACAGCATCGTTCAAACAACTGTGACGCTCTCTCTTGTCTGAATCATTTACGTTAAGTGTGGCTGTGGCAGCCAAGTTCATATAACCCTAGTCATGGTTTCACAGTGTGCTGGGGTGTCACGAGTTATTTCAGAGTAACCCAAAATCTTTTTGCCACCTGCCAAAGTATCTCAAAATAAAATTACTTGTAATAGATAACTTCATGGCTTCCATGAGGGTTTGGGATGCATCTACACGTATCACCTCACTTAATTCCACTCTGTTTCTAAGATGAGAAAGCTGTGGGCAGAGCACCTAAGAGTTACTTGTGAAAACCAGATGTTCAGTCACCACTGTGGCTTCAGTGTGCACGTTAGTGGTGCTAAGGGGCCGGAATCCGCTCAATCCAGTTGTGGTGTTTGGTGGTAGGACCTTTGGGAAGTGATTGGATTGGGTTAGGTTGTTAGAGTGGATTTCCTATGGTGGAGTCCTGTTGGCTTTATAAGGAAAGATAGAAATGCCACAGAGAGCTAGGCAGTCATACGAGCTCCCTGTCTCTTGCCATGAGATGCTCTGTGTTGCCCCCATGACTCTGCCAGCACAAAGGCCATCGCCACAGGAGGCCCACAGACCTTGTTTTGTTTTGTTTCTTTTCATATATTTATTTATTTGAGAGGCAGAGTTACATACAGAAGGAGAGAGAGAGATCTTCCATCTGCTGGTTCACTCCCTAAATGGCTACAATGGCCAGATCTGTGCTGATCCAAAGCCAGGAGCCAGGGACTTCTTGCAGGTCTCCCACCTGGGTGGCAGGACCCACACACTTGAGCCATCTTCCCCTGCTTCCCAGGGCATTAGCAGGGAGCTGGATCATAAGTGGAGCAGCTGGGATTCAAACTGGCATCCATCTGGGATGCCGGCACTGCAAGTAGAGGCTTAACCTATTATGCTGCAGTGCCAGTCCCAGCCCCTAGACCTTATACCTCCAGAACCATACCAAATAAACCTCTTGATAAAGTTAGCCTGCCTTCAGTAGTTCATTATAGTACCTGAAAGCTAACAGATATGCATGCTCTTTGGAATCTATCTGGGATTACTGAGCTATATGATCACAAGGAATTTCTGTGGCACACTGCCAGGATGTTCGTGAATACTGAAGGAGTGCAGGGGAGAGGGAGACGCACTGAAGCTTGACCTCACCCTGCATTTGATTCTCAGCTCTCCCACCTGCCAGCTTTGTGCACTTGAACAAGTTGCCTCTCCACTCCTCAGTTTTCTCATCAGCAGCACAGACAGTCTCTACTTTTATGCTGGTGGCAAAGGTTGAATAAGAAAATGTTTCAGAAATGCCTGAAAATAGCAGGCCCTTGGAACGCGATAGCTTAGCTTTTATTGCAGCGCCCTGTTCGCCCTCTGCTTCATTTGGCCTCACGTCGTTGCCTCCCCATTCTTTTCCACTTGCCTTTAGACATGTTATCATCTGAAATTGTCATCTCAATTGAGTCCACAATTTGGTGCTCGGTCTGCAGAAAAATTCAGAAGGGAAAAAAATCACTCTCTTTGATTTGAAAAGTCACATTTTTGTTCATCCTATGGCTATGACCCCTTCACACAGTTAACGTATTATTTGTCATTGAGTGCTAAATATAAAGCACGTATTTAAGTGTGTACCTCGCGGTAGCAAGGTGCTTAAGAACTTCTGTTTCCTTTTGAAGAGTAATGAAGATCGCCAAGGGCAGACCTTGGCCGGGGTGACTCTGGTGCCTTGCGTGTGAACATTGCTGCTGAAATCCCGCGCGTGCACAGAGGCGCAGTGCACCTGACGTGGGACATGTCATGTCCGTGCTTACGAGACTCCTGTGGGCCAGCCTCAGTCTGCAGGGCAGGCTGTGTCAGGCCACTGTACTCTGTTTATCCGTCTTGTTGACCTCTCGGTAGCTTAGAGAGAATGTTGTGGAAGTGGCAAGTCTGCTCCCGGAAGCCATGAATAATGCAGTGGTTCTCAGACCTTGTCATGTGTAGGAGTCACCTGGCAAGCTTGTGGAGTGTGCAGAGCCCCACTTCCGTCCCCAGAGAGGCTGACGTCCCAGGTCTGAGGTGAGGCCCGCAGACCGGTGTTTTGTCTAAAGCAGCTTCAGATATGCCAAGGCTAGGATTTGGAACATAATTTAACTCCTAAGGTAGAACTGGCATCTATTTTAGGAAACTGATACCAGCAAACACATCATATTACTGGTTTTTGAGCCAAGCACAGTAGTGTTCCGAATGGTTCTTCAGTGAGAGTTTAGGCCAAGCATCTGATGATCTGAACTAAATTAACCAACGTGTGTTTCCATGGCATAGACGTTTTTGCTTTGTTTAACTTGGGAGGGCATGATAGGGCCTATATCTAAAACGAGTGCTTCCAACTGCAGCTTTTAAGTTTACTCATTGATGTATTTGACTTATTTCAATTCTTATACCCATGCAAAAATACTTCTTACATTTTTGCCTGGAGCATGGTTTTTCAACCTTGGCAGTATTGATGTTTTTGGTGCAGTCAATTTTTTTTTTTTGTGTAGGACTACCCTGTGCATACAGGATGCTTAGCAGTCCCTGGGTTCTAAAAGCCTTATCCCCACATGGAACAGCCAAGATTGTCCCTAGACATTGCTGAATGGCCCCAAAGGGATGGGGGGGACAAACTTCCCCCAGTTGGCCTAGAGAATATAATAATCATTGGAAATTTTAGTTTCCTTCCCATTTAATAAGTATGATGTTCTAGAGATTTTATGGAAAAATTAGATTGAAAGATACAGTGTATTTTTAGTAGCAATCTTCTTAAAATCCATATACACACACACACAGACACACACATATTTTTACTTGAAAGGCAGAGTAACAGAGAGAGAGAGAGAGAGAGAGAAATTGATTGATCTCTTCTCCACTGGTTCACTTTCCAAATGCCCATAACAGACAGGACAGGGCTAAGCTAGAGCCAGGAGTCTGAGCTCCATCCTGGTCTCCCACATGGGCAGCAAGGGCCCAAGCACTTGGAGCATCTTTGCCTGCTTTCCCAGGCCTTGAGCAGGAGGCTGGATGAGAGCACGGTGCCCAGGACCCCAGCTGGCACTCTCCTATGCAGGAGGCTCAAGCAGTGGTTAAACCACTGCACCACAATGTCCACCCCGAAGTAGGTTTGTTGTAGTGCAAAAAAAAGAAAGTGCACTCCTTGCAGTTCTCTTTGTAATCCACGTCCTTCGAGTGTTGTGGAGACGCAGTGGCAGCGTGTGCTGCACGCATGCCTCAGTGTTGCGTGCAGACAAGTGCTCTGCCGCTCCTTTGCAGTTCCCGTGTAATTGCTTGGCTGCCTAGCACCCTGCTGCCCGTTCCTCCTGGCTCGCGGCACTAGCGCCAGGCTCCTGGTTGAGGCCTGCAGCACACCGGATCCTGGTGGCACCTCAGGTGGTGTCTGAGCACTGTCTGTGCTGAGCTGGCGTGCACTTTGCCTGCTAGAAGTTCTCACGATTGTCGGGCAAACCACAACTAAGGTAATTCCTAAGGTATTGGTGTTAATTGGCTGAAGTAATTACAGAGCATCAGGGGACGCAGTCACATTGCAAAACGCCTTGGTTTGAAATAAAATCCCTGCCCAGGTTAGGGGTTGGGGAGTAATTAGTGTCCAAGTTCTAAACAGTTGCTCTTGTAGTTTACCACGGCCAAGAAGCCGCCCACCCCTTGCCCGGGTCAGCCATTCATCACAGCAGTCTTTAACCAAGGGTGGCCCAGGAGACTGCACTTGCTGTGTGCCTGTGGTGTGCCTGCCCCTGGTCAACTCTCTGAAGGCTCAGCACCATTTGAGATCCCCAGTAGAATCCGCATGCCGCAGATGAGGTAACACCTCTGGTACAAACTTCCCAAGCCTATGGGAGCTGCACGGAGTGGTTCCTACAGGAAGGGCAGCTGCTGGGCTAATGCAGGCTTCCTGACAAGTGGTGGCTCCCTTACCCCGGCGTCTGGGTGCTGAGGATTTAGTTCTTCTGGGGCCTTCTGCCCTTCCTTGTGCCTCGCGGCCAGGATGAAGGCAGCTTGTGGGGTGAAACCAGCTTTTTTGGGGTTGCTCTTAGACACCTGCTGCTTCGCCTGTCTGGAGCTAAGGCCCAGCCTCCTCTGCCCCCTCAGTCGGTTACTTTTGTGTTGGGAGGGGTGGTCTTTTTTAGAAAAGCTCATAATATATATCCAGGTGACTCTATATACTGGAAATGGACTGAATGGCAGTTTGATGACAAGCAGTCATGTTCTGCATGATGTCTCAGTCTGTGGAAAGTCACGTGGACACAGCACTAGTGCCATAATGCTGAAACACTCCTGTTGTCCAGGGAGCTCATCGTAGTGCAGTGCTAATGAGCACCTGTGTATCTATTATAATTTTATCATTATTTTAAAGGATATTCCTTCGAGTTATTTAAAAAATGTTTATTGTGAGACAGTATGCCATGGCACACTGAAGGTGTTATAGGCTGGGATATGGGCCTAAATTAAGTTTCCAGGTTTTTGCCTTTTACTTAGAGAAGAATTCTAAATACAGGCCAAATACAGCATGCAGTATGATGAACTTTATTTACAAAGTGAGAAAAAGGACCAGCACTGTGTCCCAGCCTGCAGCACTGGCATCCCATATGTGCGCCGATTCAAGACCCAGCTGCTCCACTTCTGATCCAGCTCTCTGCTGTGGCCTGGGAAAGCAGTAGAGGATGGCCCAAGTCCTTGGGACCCTGCACCGCATGGGAGACCCAGAAGAAGCTCCTGGCTCCTGGCTTCGGATCAGCTCAGCACTGGCTGTTGTGGTCATTTGGGGAATGAACCAACAGAATGGAAGACTTCTCTCTCTCTCTCTTTCTGGCTCTACCTCTCTCTTTAACTCTGTCTTTCAAATAAAAAAAATAAAGTCTTTTAAAAACAAAGTGAGGAAAATACACAGGTCCATTAGGGCTTTATTTCAGGAGACTGGGGCCAAAGAAAGTGAGTTATCACACCCTGCTCTGCTCATCCTGAGTCCATGTAGAGGACAGAGTGAGCTTCTGTTCTTCCTAACTTTTTATGTACTTTAGAAAAATGGAAATGTTTACATGGTACCGCCCCCATGTCCCGGGTAGAAGGAGGTACTTCCTGGGGAAGGGTCCCCTGATTGACGGGTAGATGAACATGGCAACACAGAGCGAAGGAGGTGTGGCTTCCAGCTCATGAACTTCACGTTGTCTCTCTAAGCTGTCCTACATCAGAGGCAGCCTGTTAGGTCCGCGCTTTACCCAGTCTGTTTGCACAGACCACTGATTGGTTGATCCGGCGTCTAGGCCCGCCTAACTACCCTCCGTGATGTTCCCACAGAGCGCCATCTTGTGAGTGAGCAGTACAAGACTGTGTTTGATGTAAAGCCTCTCCCTTCGCTTGGAATGTAAGAGAAGCCTGTGTGGCATACCTGCTCGGGTGTATTCTTATGCAAGTGTGGATCCCCTCTCTTCCTGCCATTTCCTATTTACTCAACCACACTTTGAGCCTGCGTGAAGAATTTTCTGCATCATGCAAGTAGGGTGCTGTCTGTTCAAGTCTGGACCAGAGGCGCTCACTTCGGGGCCAGCTGAGCTCTTCCGTGTGTGGAAGCCTTCCGGCTGTTCCGGTGTTCCACTGCTGCTGTAAGCTGCAGGGTGGAGGCCAGGGCCCCACCCCTCCTGAAAGAAAGAGCCAACCTAGAGTGTTGGTGGCGCCAGCCTGAGTCCCTGGCCCACACTGGAGTTTGGACGGGAGCCAAGCAAACGAAAGCCGTCTAACTCTCAGAAAACTTACTCTGGCACAGGCGTTGGGCGCAGCAGTTGGGGGTGCCTGGTTTGAGTCCCGGCTCCACTCTGGTCCCAAAGCTTCCTGCTAAGGCACAGCCTAGGAGGCAGCAAGTGGCGACTCAAGCACTTGGGTCCGTACCGCTCACTCTGGTGCTAGGTTGAGCTCCTTGCTCCCAGCTTCAGCTTGCTCCAGGCTTGGTTGTTGCTCATTTGGACGAGTGAACCAGTGCGTGGAAGACCTCTGTCTTTCTCCCTTTGAACTAATATGAAAATAAATTAAAAAGTTTAGAAGAGTTCATAGAAAATTGATTGAAAAGATAAGGTTACTAAAAGTTTTTTCTTAAATATAAGCTTATTTTCAATCATCTCCCTGTATAAATGGTCCACAGCTATTCCACCCCAGCTTTAATTTGTGAATATAGTATGCAACATACATTATTTTACCATTTTTCCCTAATGATGACGACTGTGTGTGTGCCTTTTTATCTGCACAGATTTTTGAACAATATATTGTTCCTATAAAATTTATTTCTTTATCTGAAGTTACGTTCTAAAGGATATTATTTCTTGTATTGATTGCATCAAAATATATTTTCTAAAAGAACGAACTTCCTTTGCCTAGGCTTGCTCTTGGTAGAGCTTACCTATTGGACTGTCTCTGTTGATGCCATAGTCACTTACAGCAAATGATCAATTTGATATTGTTTATCAGCTTCTTGGAAATAAGCCTACGTAAATCCATGCTGTGTGCCGTGTGCTCACGCGAGCATTCCATTAGTCCCAGATCTGCCAAAAGGCAGCTCTTGTCTTTGGAAGGCAGGTTTGGAGGACGGAGGAGTGGTGCCGTGCAGGAGCCTGTGGCCCCTTCACTTGGTGACTTCCCACTGCCTCAGCTGCAGCCTGGCCCGTGGTGAATGTGCAGGTCTGGGGTTGATGCTGCAGGCCGTGCAGGAGTGTACTCACAGGGAAGGCTCACGGCCACTGGGAGAATGTGTGATTTCCGCTTCCTGAGAGAAGGGGTCTGCCTTGCTGGCGAGGGGCCCAGTGGAAGCACTGGGAAAGGAGGAAGGCAAAACTGTGCGTAGGAGCCTTTCTCGGGGCTTCCTTGGGACAGGCAGGGCAGGGGACATCACTTAGGATTGGCTGCTTTGACTGGGCTTTGGGATCCAGGGGCATTCTCCAGTTGTGTGGTACCTGGCCCCGGAATGCTTTGGGGCAGGGGACATAGTGGCTTGGTGAGTGAGTCGATAAAGTGGGTGGCTGGCTTGCTCCCAGTATGTTTACCATTCCAGGAGTTGGCGAGCCCTGGGAGGGGCAGTCTCTCTCTGGTTCTGTAAACTCCCCCAAGATGTTAGCACAGGGGCTGGCGCTGTGGCATAGTGGGTAAAGCTGTGGCCTGCAGTGCTGGCATCCCAAATGGGCTCTGGTTGGAGTCCCGGCTGCCCCACTTCCCATCCAGCTCTCTGCTATGGCCTGGGAAACCAGTGGAAGACCCAGAAGAGATCCTGGCTTCGGATCTGCACAGCTCCAGCCATCTGGAGAGTGAACCTGCGGATGGAAGACCTCTCTCTCTCTCTCTCTCTCTCTCTTTCTGCCTCTGCCTCTGCCTCTGCCTCTCTGTAACTCTGCCTTTCAAATAACTAAATAAATCTTTAAAAAAAACACAGATTTTAGCACAGCATAAGAAACGGCAATCAGGCCAACGTGATTAACACACAGGGAAGCTGGAAGTAATCCTATCCAAGGGAGCTGCCTAGGTGGTACCCAAACCACAGAGATGGATGTCTAAGTCAGAGCATGCGTGTGTTGAGGTGTGGTGAGGAGTGTATCTCCCAGTGGCCACGTTCTTCAAAGCTTGCCCCCTAGAATAAGTTAGTAAGCTTGCTAATGCGGTTTCACAGCTGGTCTGGTTTACCGGGTAACCAGAGCAGAGTGCCACGTGTCTGTGCTGTGCAGACTCCTGGTGAGTCGCCCGTAGCAAGGACACCTCCTGGCGCCACCTCTGCACCTTCCCTCTTCTGCCCCCTAGCACTGCTGCTGCTTGCTTCCCCCAGAAAGGCGCCGGGCAGCCCCTCAGCTGTGGTTGCAGACCTCCTGTCACAGGCCTCTGCTTCAGCTTCACGTGGGCTGGCGCTCAGGTCGCACTGGGTGGAGCCTGAGTGTTGCCGGATCCTTTGGGTTAGGCACTTCCCAGAGGGCTCAGCAGCACCCTCGTATCCGGAGCGTCACCACCGTAGCTCTCTGATGTTCCAGACAATTCCATGTCTTAGGTCACACCTTGTGAAGTATGTGGAAAAAACTGTTTCATGAACAGTTCTGAGAGATCTCATTTCTAGTCCCAGGAGCGCTGCAGCCTGGCTGTGTGACCTTCCACACTGCCGTTTTC